AAAAAATACGATATCACAGTTTCATACCGCAGTTCGCGTGAAGCCTGTCTTTAGAATAAGCACCACTGAAAGACGAAGAACAATAACAAACAAATTCTGAGAAGTCAAAGAACAGAATGTTATGGACAGTGTGAGAGAAATAAACTACCTGTATCACAGATAATACGAGCCACATGCATGAAAAGTGGCACGAACCTAATACCCGCAAAATACTTGCAGTTACGAATAAAAATAAACAACTGAAAGATTGCAATAATTAACAATAACGACTGATAATACTTGATTATGATACAAAAAAAAAAACCATAGAAAATTAATCCAAGTAATGAATATAAGATATTAGAGACAATCACTAAAGAAAGTGAAGGTTAAAAATGCAAAGAACACGAAGAAGTAACAACCAAATAAGCGAATAAAAAAGTCCATATTACAGTACATACATTTACAAGAGGTGAAATATACAAGTTTCAAATGAGATCAGCTGAGAGTAGGTATGCACTAATTAAACCTCAGATTTCAGTCCAAACAGTAATTGCTTAGCAAAAGACGAGAACTCCAACTGGTTAAAGAAATTTGCAGCTACAACAGCCTCCTTAAGTTCCACTGCCATTGTTGCCAAAACCGTCCCCAGCAACAACAATTTCCGGAATCTATCGCCTGAATCCTAAAATAAGTCAAAAGAATACAAAGCTATGTAAGACGAAAGGCTACGACTGTGAGAAACCGTGCATTCTTCAGAAACCAGTACACTAGTTTAAAGTTGTCGCAAAATAGCACCTCAAAGCCGGTCTTCTTAATTATATACTTGTACAAAGCGCTTGTAACTAGCGAACGTCCTTCTGATATAAGTTTCTTCGATGTTTCACTAATGTCTTCGGCATCTAAAAATAGTAGTCTTGACAAACTTAGTAGGCAGAAGAAAGGCTGTCAAGAAACTGTAAAAAAACTAACAAGAAAGCCTCAGTCGCTTAAATAAAATTTAAGCAACTTACATACTGTTTGAAACTTTAGTCACATGAAATTTTGAACTGACCTGGATTTAAAAAGAAGATTGCTTTGAAAGCAGCGAATTCACAAAGATCAACTTTCATTTTGCGCATTGGAATCAGTAACTGGTCAAGCATTTGGTGCTTTCTTCTCCCAAAACCTAGACTTCTAAAGCAAAAAAATAAACTGCACAAAATATGTAGAAAGTATTCATTCCTAAGTTGTTCAACAACAGTCAAGTACTCAGTTACCTTCCGGGTTCAGAGGTTCTGTCCATGTAAGCTCCACTTGGAAAAACTAGAGTATCCGGTCCATGGTCCTCTGAGTAAAAGCACTGAGAAAGATGTGGAAAAGTGAGTGCTGAGTGCCGTAGTAAAGCTAACTACAATTCGGTTCAAATATTTCATCTATTTCTAATTATCGTACAAAGTAATTCTGTGAAACTCACTCAGGTAAACTTACTTTGTCACTGATGGGCAAACTCTGATAGGCAGGGATAGATTTGGCCCACTCGGTCATTAAAATCCAGTCATTTTCATGCCAACTCTGATAATCGATCAGTTGTGCAGGTCGAAGCACTAGCGAATTCTTCTGATTCTAAGCAGTTTATTTCAAGAACAAAATTGTAGAGTCATAAAGTTTTTTAGTAATTGAAAAACTATAAAACATCCATCTACAAAAGATCAAGATAAACGCTATTAAAAGCAAGCCACTCTTTTCAGGAAATCCAGTACTGGTTGGTTCTCGAGAACACTTGGTGACAAAATAACTTCAAGAAGCCCCTTTCCACAATTTATCTGAATTTCTGCGTTACGAAGCTTCTTACATTTTTCTTCAACATCAGTTAACGCGTCAAGGAATTCATCCTGAGAATCATACTGAAAAAAAAATGGATTAAGATTCAGCAACCATCATAATGTTACCTCTGAAGTCTGAGCTCTTACATCTTTGATGTCACTTTGAGGTGAGGACTGATCGCCTTCAGGGGTATGAACCGCTTTTAGTACCGAGTACCGTCGAGTTCGTTTCGTATAACCAATTGGGTCACGGCTTTGCTGAATGGCTATAATTACGTGATAACATAAATAAAAAAAAAGCAATTTGTTTATAAAACTAAAATATTTTTTATACAATTTCAACATGCCATCAGTTTCTACTCCATTGTGATTTTCATTCAAAAACATCGCTATAATCTTCACAACATGTACATTTCTTTACGGCTCAAGAAGCAAATAAAACGTTTGAATAAACAAAAACGTAATCGTTTTTTTTTTTTGGTCTAAGATAAGAGAAGTCAAGAAAAAAATCAGCAACACAAAAACAGTGGCAACCAATGGCTGGTAAATTGAAAAAATGAATGTCGCTCACCAAAACGATCCATACCAACCTCCAGACATTTTTTAAATCGGCAAGATCTGCAAGAGCATCTGATACCTAAAGAAGCAATAACTTCAGCATTTTAAAACCTAAAAATGTTTTCTTTACTTTCTTCTTTTTGATTCATGACTGAAAAGGCTGCTGGATAAGAAAATTTGGGTAATATTTTAGCTTCAGTGACTTACTTTTATCAACTGGGCATTTGCCGTCATGTTGACACACAAAAGTCTGCTTTTTTACAATAGTTCGTCGAAAGAATGTCTTGCTAAAAGTTTAAAACTTAGCATAAAAGTAATAATGAAATAGGTAAATTAACCTTTTTGACCACATAATGGTTACAACTGGAAAAAACAAATCTATTGCCATAAACTGACAACAAAAAAGATTATTGTCACTACGATGTAACACGCAAACCCTCCTTTCGTTTCTCCAACATGTTCCTCCAAAAGAAAAGACCATCGAGTAAACAAGTTTAAAAGATGTAAATTCATAGGTGGTAGCAGTAGATTTTGGAGAAATTAATATGAAGCAGTTGCAGCTACAGATACAACAAACATTCATTCTGACTCAGAGTTTAAAGCCCTGACTTATAAAGAGCCTATATTCTTTCTGAACTAAGTATCGAACTTGTGCCAACAGATTTACAACGCACCTATTTTAAATTGTAAACGGTTTCAGCAAAACTTAATAGATAGCTTCAAGTTGACTTCCTGTACCAAACGTTACTGCGATCACTACTATTCAATTTATATGGGAAACTAGAAAATTTACGTATCAGAGCTTAAAGGGTGCTTCGCAACGTACACGTCTCCAAGCTCTAAGCTTAAGTGAGATGTAATGTTACAGATAGTGCCTACAAAAGATTGAAAAATGCAAATGTGATAGTTTAAAAAAGTGAAACTTCTGTTAAAAAATTCTAGACCGAAAAACGGCACATCAAAAAGTAAAAACCACGGCCGATTCTTAAAATTAAGAAACAAAAATAAAATTAAAAATAATAATAATTACCATAACAACAATTCTCACGATAAACTTAATGACATGATGGGGAAAAATTAAATCTAAAACTACTGACAGTGGTTACTTAATGGATAGACTACATATTCTTGGTGAAGCAACAACACTGGTTTTGGAAAAACTTTAATTTCAGCACAGCAGGGTAAAGGCTATGGAATTGCTAAATCCCATGTTTTGTTCCTGGAAACATTTCTGTGAAGATACGCAGAACCTTTGGTGCCGCAATAAATTATGATATTCTTAGAAATACCAGTACCAATTTTGTGTTATGATTGGAATTTGTTTGACAGCTTTGAATCGCAAAACAATAAGACTACACTTGTGAAATCAGAGGTCTCAGTGGATATTTTATAAACTCCGCAAAGCCACAATTATTATTTCGGAAAGGTAATGCGGCTTTCAGATTCAGCTCAATT